TTTAGGGTATTTAGGGGCTTAGGGTTGAGACCTTGACCAACATGTGATGCCTCTGGAGGGGTAAGCAGCTGCCAGAAAGCAGCACCAGGGCTTCGGTAGATGGGTCCTTTACCGCCGGCATGGTGCTTGTTGGATACCTGATACCTCCATGCACTCACTTCACTGATCCAGTAAGTAGCTTCAGCTTAAGAATGCTAAACCACGTTGCGCGGGAATGCCGGTTAATGCCGAATTCCAAGCATATCTCCACGTCTCTACTTACAATCCAAACCCCCCCCCCCCCCCCCCCGACCCCTCCTGCACTGACTCCCTGCAGCTAGTATACGGATTATGCCTCGAAGTTTGAACTTTCGGGACATCACTTCAGGGGGTTTGAGGCTTGCATGGGGATGCCAGCTAATGATGGAGGAGCAGGGCGAGAAGGCTTGTAAGACTTGGCCACCGGATTCAAAGTGGTCTACTGCCATTCGGGTTTTAAGGCCCTAAACCCTAAACCGTANNAAACCGTAAACCAAAACCCTAAACCCCAAACCCCAAACCCAAAACCCTAAACCGTTTAAGACTTTGAAGGAGCGATAAGAGTGGAGCCTAGCAACAACCCATACAACTCTGAACCCATTTCCCGAAACCTTAAACCCTTAAGCTACAAACCCGAAACACCACAGCAAACCCTAAACCCTTAACCCTGCAGAAGGGACTGTCCTGGGGCCTGCTTTTTTGCCGTATAGCTATTTTGTATAGAGTACGACATCAGACCCTAAACCCTAAACCAAAACCCTAAACCCAAAACCCAAACCCTAAACCCTAAACCCCTAACCCTAAACCAAAACCCTAAACCCTAAACCCTGAACCCAAAACCCTAAACCCTGAACCCTAAACCCAAAACCCAAAACCCTAAACTCTGTAAACCCCAGTCTGACGAGGAACCTCCAAAGCGGCACGGACCAACCGGAGTTCCGCCAGGACCAGCGACAGCTCGGCACGTCGGGTGGGCCTCAGGAAGGGCTATCGCGTCTTATGCGAGGGTTCAGACCTTAAACCCGAAACCCTGAACCCTAGGGTTTGGGGTTCAGGGTTTAGGGTTTAGGGTGGCTTTACAGGGCTCTTGCGAGGCTTTATTTGTTTTGAGGCTTCTCTGGGGAGGCTGTGTTCATAATAAGGGTGTGATTTCTCGCTTTTTTGGGCCGCAAGCCGACCTCGTGATTAGCTACCAACCCTTCGCCAAAGAAAGGGGATCAATCTGAGTATTTGAGGTTTAAGCCCTCTGTGGCAAAGCAATGTGTGAACCAGGTCTACATCATGCAGGGTTTGCGGGTTGCAGTTCATCGCTACAGTTCTCGGTTGGCAGGGCCCGCGGCCGAACTCTCCGGTTTACAACCAGGGTCGGAGTCGGGGCACGATGAGACAACAGAAAACCTGCAAGCACCTCCGCTGCAGTTCGCTGGACATACTGGTTCTCGCTGCAATTACGACCCAAAGTGCTAAAGTTGTGCGGATCAGAATGATACTGTTGATGGACAAAATCCTGCATGACCCAAATATAGTATAGTACCATAAATCCCATAGTTTAGGTATATAAGGTCATGCAGGATTTTGTCCATCAACCGTAGTTTTCACTCGCCTGACTGCTCAATGTACTTCAACCTCTGCTTCTCTCCACCTAGACCTTCCAACATCCCTTACCTAACTGGCCTAAGGCATATACTTTAAATCATACGTAGGATCCCTACGATAACTTCAAATATATTCCTCAACTAAGGAGTGTTCTGGACAAAGATCACGAGATTCGCAGGACTTCTGATGGCTACTTGCGCCAGGGAGAGTCTCCATACTTGGAGGACCATGGGACTTAGCAAGTATGGTTATAAGTACCTTAATTGGGTTTATAAGAAGTTATAAGTATAGTTACCCTAATAATAACCTTAGTTACTAGGTCCCATGATCCTTTAAGTACTGCTCCACTACAACATCCCTAAGCGCATACATACATTTCAAAGCCTAAAATGAACTATATTCAACCTTTATAATACCGTAAACCCTCAACCTACGACAAATAAGAATTGGCACGTCCAGGTCAAAGGGAACATGGAACCCAGGCGCCCGCCATGACGGGACATGGCGTGCACGCGCCTTTCATGACACTTTCGTCGGTCAAAAGCGTGGGAGTGGGTGTTCGGAGCCTTGCAAGCCCATCGTATGACCCTGACGACTTCATAAAAAAAAACACCCTAATATTGCACAGAAATTGTAGAGACCCGACCAGGTTTCAGCAGTTGAAGTTATGGAGTTCCAGCCGGGACCGATTTCGAAGGGTAAGGGATCGGGCGCTGTAGAAGCGGCGAGTGTAGCTAGCTGCCAGGTCAGCAGATTCTTGGGATAGGACGCCCTTCATGATGGGCCAAGCAGCGGACACACTGGGCTCTGATACTACCCTAACCCCCCAGGTACCTGCTACATAGGGTACTAGAGCCCCTAGACCCCTACAGTATATAGTAGGTACCTGGAGGATCAGGGCTAGGTGTCGATTTCAGGAGCCACCGCAAAAGTTATTTACTGAGGGTTTTCATTCAACGAATAAGGGAACTTAACCAGTTATACCAAATCGGAGCCTAGGATAAGACTTTGTGGTTTAGGAACCTATGTGTGGTAACAATTCAAACATCTGAAGTGCCGCAGTACAAGGGCTCCAAACACCAACGGCTGTGATTACATTCTTTAGCATTAACCTTAATATAACCTCACCCTAAGACCCGATGTGCCCATATAGTATAGACTGAAACTTAAACTACCTATATAGGAACCCCTTTCAGGCACAAGCAAGCAAGCAAGCAAGCAAGCAAGCAAGCAATCAATCAAGCAAGCAAGCAAGCACGCAAGCAAAGAAACAAACAAACATACATACAGACAGGCAGGCAGACATACATGCATACATACATACATACATACATACATACATACATACATACATACATACATACACACATACCTATCTATACTTACCAGCCTGCCTACTTACATGCTTACATACACACACACACACACACATCCATACATCCATGCATGCATGCATGCATGCATGCATGCATTGCATTGCATGTATACATGTATGCATGCACGCATACATATATACGTACATACATGCATACGTACAGACATCATGCATGCATGCATAGCTACATGCATTCAAAAAGAATTGTAATATAAGTCATAGTCATCAATATGGTAATAGTACCAGTAGCAATAATGGAAACGGTGCTGGCAATGGCAATGGTAATGCTACGAGTAAATCTAGTAGACGCAATGGTACTGATGAAAAATACATAAGAAGCAGTGTGGAGCACTACAACCAAACGATGCGGGCCCAAAACCAGCTGATTGCAAATCCCTCAGCTCCACACCATGCATCTCAAAACCGGGGACTGAATGTAGCCAAGCGTAGACTCGCGAATTCGATTGGTCTCCAACTTAGTGCGTTGAACTTGAACACAAGAAAAGGTCTCATATGGCAAGCTTTGTCCTGTCGTTGTCTGATTCTACGGATACAGTGTATTAGTCTAGTGTCGCATCACGATCTGCAGATACGTTCATGAACCGTGAACTGCGATACAACCTTCAAAACATCACAATGGCTTCATCGCCACAAGACGCCCTTACATGTCTAGGCAAGCATAACGTTGCCCCCGATATTCCCCCCCTAAACCCTAAACCCTAAACCCTTTCCCAACGTACACCTCAACAGGCCAGCTACACCAAGAAGCTGCCTGAAGAGTTTGCACAGAGGTTGACATGGACTGAGGGTTTAGGGTTTAGGGTTTAGGGATTAGGGTTTAGGGATTAGGGTTTAGGGTAGTGTGGGGGGCCTTGATGATTAGAATAGGGTTTTGGGGGTTCCTTTAAAGGGTTCCTTAAAGGCTTCTATAAGGGCTACGATAAGGGTTTAGGGTTTAGGGGCCTTAACAATTAGAGTAGGGTTTTGGGGCCCATTGTACTATAATCATAATAAGGACCCCCCGAAAGAAAAAAATAGTATTGGTAATTATTAAGGCTCCTAGAGTAGGAATGCTGAGACTATTGAAGATTGAACAGGGTTTAGCATTTACAGTTTCGAATGCAACGGTTGTGGGAAGCCGCAGAAACTTGGTTCCATGCCAAGTAGCACCCGCCCAACAAACTCTTAGCAGTCTTAGCCACGAGAAATTCTATGACAGCACGCTAGAAACTAAAACAACAAGAAATGTATCCTCTGCGAATGACCCACCATGATGACCTGAACCGCTGTTGGCATTTAGGGATACCTCTGACCCATCGACCAACAAACAAAACACGAGGGACCTTGGGGATTTATGTTTGGCGCTTCCTTCGGCTTGGGATGGGGGCTTAGGTTGAAGTTTGGGATTTTTGGATTTCTGGGTTTGAGGGCAGAGGCGTTTTTCAATGAACTTACGGGCACAACTTGCTGTAAAGTGCTGGGTTGAAAGGCTTGAGGCCGGGCCATGAGTCTTGTCATTCTCAAGCAACGGCCCTGCCCTAAACCATAAACCCTAGACCCCAAACCCTGAACCTTAAACC